CTCAGAAACCACAAACTGTCATCAAAAGTCCAGAAGATTCACTCAAAGCTTCAGAACAGACCGAGCAGAGCTCAGATTCTGCTGTACAAGAAGAAACACAACAGCAGACTGCAGGAAAATCACCTGAGATTTCTGTGGAGGCAAAGCAGAGAGTTGAAAGTGTAGAAACAGTTACAAAGGACAAAGGTAAGTGGACAGAAAACACCTTCATGTGTGGAGTATCGTTGATAGCAAGATGTTGGACGGAATCAAAAGCTAAAGACTGCTTCTTGACGACAACAGTTTTCAGATTTTTATTTAAATCAGCTGGGTAATTTGCATCCTATCTAAACTACCACTATTTACCTTAACTACATTTCCTTTATTCTAAGTCTCTGTGACTGCAAAGAAGATCTCAAAGGATCCGGTCGCTCCTACCCACCCAACATTTGGGGAACGGATACAAGAGCAACTGCGTCCAGAAAGAATCCGTAAGAAATCCCCAAAGATCTGTATGAAAGATTTCCCAGTGTGAACATAATTTTTATTTTATAATTATTTTCTGTTTTTCTTTTGCTCTGCACTTTCCAGGTTGTCTCAAGACAGTCAGACTTCCCCATTCAAAGGTAACATTAAAAAAACACTTAAATTATACCTGTAAGAAAAGCATGCTTTATCAAAGTGGTTAAGTTTTGATCTGAAATAGTTCAATTTGTTTTAAAAGTTTATAGTTGGGTTATATCTCATTGTCAGGTGACACTCAAGTAGGTGTAACGTTAGAAAAATGTTAAAAATTCAGTAGGGATGTCGCAATAGCAGAGATTTTGTAGTCAGTATAGACACCAATAGAATTGCACGATTCTTGGTTACCAATTTAGTATCGTAATAGAACAATTATCTCATGTACTAACACATACTAAAACTCCTTTATTAAAAAGCTAGTTTAAAATGTTCAAATTATATGCACAGTCATCCAGGACATGGTGGTTTTGAATGCTTAAAAAAGTTTTTCCTTCCTGAGTTTGAAAAGCGCAGTAGTGCTGTTTACACATTGCCTTTTGTGAATCAGTTATCACTCTTTAAGGATCCACCTTAAATGAAAAGTACTTTCATAGCTGACTCTTACTGCCTTTTTTATCAGCGAGTCAAGGTAGAGCTGTACTACATAAAAAAAAAAAGAAAGTTACCATCAGAAACATTTTGTAATAGGTATTTTATTCTGATGTACCTCATTGTGTTCATAGTTGTAGATGGTGCTCAAAGTGAGGCAGAGTTTATAAGTTAATGTTTGCATTTTTCAGATTTCTCTCTGGAATTTCTTCAATTGCAATTGTAAACTGATTCTGAATTTCTTTTCTTTTGCACAGCTTGTTTCGCTTGGTTACAAGGTGCTGTTAATAAGCAACCTGCCAGAGTATCACGATGGCTGTTACGCAGAGGAGGACATCGCCGGTCTGCTCACTCGACACAGATTTGAATATTACGACGATACGATCTACATTATACCACAGGCGCGCATGGTAAGCACCAAGTTATGAATTTGTATTGGGCTGGATTATTACCTTCATTTTAATGGGAT